TGCTTCAGCAGCATGATAAATCAGAAGAAACGCCAGGACCGCACCAGCCCAAGAGTCCTCGCTGTTCCTCGTTTAGCCCTCGCAACGTTAGGCACGACACTTTTGCTCGGCAGCATACTACGTACTCACCAAAGGATTCGATGCCTAGTCCATCTCAAAGGTCCCAGTTCTTAGATACTGCACAGGTGCCCTCGCCGCCACCATCCTTGATGCAACCATCAACACCTCCAATGCCAGCAAAAAGACTGGAGTTTGCTCAGCAATCAGTACCTGAGGCGTCTCAGCACTGGCAGGAGCAGCAGGTACCTCCCGAGAGCCAGCACAGGCACCCGGCAGCGACGCTTCCACAGCACACGGCTCCCAGCTGCAAAACCAGCGCCCATGCCGGGGAATCTCTCACGCCGCATATGGGCTTTTCGCAGGACGCTTCGAAAATGGACAGTGATGATGCTGCTTCAGGTTCCGATAGCAAAAAGAAGAAAAGGTACCGACCTAGAGACTACACAGTCAACTTGGATGGGCATGTCACGGAAACGGGGGTGAAACCTGTGAGATTAAAAGAGAGAAAACTTACTTTTGATCCCATGACAGGACAGATAAAACCTTTAACACAGAAAGATCCTTTGCAGGTAGAAATTCCTGCACTTACTGAACAGCACAGGACAGAAACGGAAAAGCAGGAGCAAAAACCCAACCTGCAAAGCCCTTTTGAACAAACGAACTGGAAGGAGTTATCCAGAAATGAAATAATTCAGTCATATTTAAACAGACAGAGTAGCTTGCTGTCCTCATCAGGAGTACAGACTCCAGGAGCTCACTACTTCATGTCTGAGTATTTAAAGCAGGAGGAAAGCACTAGAAAAGAGGCTAGAAAGACTCATGTTCTAGCTCCTAACAGCAAACCTACAGACTTGCCTGGGGTCACAAGAGAGGTCACAAGTGATGATCTCGACAGAATACGTGAACATAACTGGCCAGGCGTGAACGGTTGTTACGACACACAGGGTAACTGGTATGATTGGACACAGTGCATATCTTTAGATCCACACGGGGACGATGGTAGATTGAACATCCTGCCTTATGTCTGCCTAGACTGAGTACAGTTTTGCTAAAATGCTTTTACATCTGCAGTTAGCAAAAATGGCAGACACTTTGCCACTTAACCATGGAGAAAGCCTCTTGTCCTGGACAAACAGGCCCAACAAGCAGAGGGTGTCAGGGAGCTGGTTATTTACAGCTCTTTCCTTTAAATTCTCCTTTTGTGAAATGCTGCTACCAGTTTACTAACAATTGCAAAGGAAGGCATACAAAGTTGACAAATTGAGTTCAAAACTCTATAGCCAGACAGCTATAAAAAGTGTTAGCCCCCAAAAAGCAGAGATGATTTCCAGCACTTTCTGAATGCCGGAATCTTATTACAGGCAGGTACAGAGAAAATTGTGGAAGTTACCTTAACAAAATATGCATCTATTTATTTGACTTGATTTGGGTTTTTATTTGGCAGTGATGAGATATTTGAGAGACAATGTGCAAAAACTGTAGTTTTATTTGTATCACATCTCTGAACATGATTGCGTTTTTAGTCATGTGGTACGGAGATTGGGTTTTAAACAGCACGTGTTGCACTGCAGGTCGGGGAACCGGCTTCAGCTCAACATTCCATAGGCATCCACGTATTTTAGTCTGGTTTCAGTTTAAATCCAGTCTCTGAGAAATGCTGCAAAAACTAGATGTTTAAAGATATTTTTGATCCCACCATGACCAGCCAAATATTTTTCCTCCTTTTCCCTTCCAATCACCTTTTCTAGAAACTAAATGTAATGAGGGTGCTACAAGTTTGTAATTGTACTGTGAGAGGGAAAAAGGAAGCCTGTTTGTATGCTGGAAATATACTTGTTACCATTCCTTTAGATATTGTTTGCCTTATGGATATCCATCATAAACGCAATTTGCAAAAACAAAGAGCCTTAGTGAATGTACAGTAACTAGACTTCTGTGTTCTTGGGATGCAGAAGGGAGCAACTTTGCTATTTGGTCCTTTAAGTGGACACATTGTGATATAAATGTGGAAATAAAAAAAAATTTGCACAAACCAGTTTGTGAATTATTTATACTTATCTGGTTTATTTTTTCAAGTTTGGTCAGTCCAGTCAAGCTAAGTGATGACCGGCGCTGAGAACGCACTGGCGCAGCGTGGGGAAGCTGAATCCCCTCTGATCCTCCCTGGCGCAGCCGCCCGTTATGGCGGGGGAGACGTCTTCCAAGGACGCGGTGGTATTTGGTCACACAGGCTGGAGATATATATATATATTTTTTAATTAGGCTCTGGTTGCATCCGGAGTTTGGAAACTGATAACCCAATTACTGTTAATGTACCTCAAAGATCAGAGCTTACCTTTTCTCATCTCTAATTTTGTAATATATCGTTCTTAATTGTTAAGCATCTTAAGTGGCCTGATTCAGTATAAAAGGCTAAGAATTTCTATTAATTATAACTGCTTTAACATTTGGGACAAGTGGTTTTCTACAGTCTCCGCTAGTGGGCTTTTGCCTCAGGGAAAGGAGAGGAGACAAAACACCAAAAATGTTGCTACTTTTAGTGATGTTAATTCTGTTAATCCTTTGGGGCTGGATGTTGCCTTGGTAAAAGCTCTACTACCTTTGAGAGCAGAGTTAAGCTCTTAAATATCAAACCATGACTTAAGAAGGGTATTCCTTACCTGGTATACATGAGGTTTGTTCATTCTGTGGAATACAGGTGTTAACGTATGGTTTATTTTTAAGTCATTCCTGTTCAGACCTATTGTTTTTGTGATCTGACTGGTACTGAAATGTATTGGGTGTTTACATCTTGCTGATGTCTGTTTGCTTCCATTTCTGAATTCTGACGTCTTGGAATGAAATTTCATAGCCAGAAAAAAAAAAATATTTCCAAGTATATTTTCAGTTTACTTCCATTTTGTCCTTCTGCAGTTTATGAGGTCAAGCAGTGTGTGTTAGAGCTGGGAAAAGTTGGTGTCTTTCACTGTGTCTTCCACTTCAGGAAGGTAAAACTGAAGCTAGAAGGCTAAAAACCTGGGAATGCTTGATATTTTGGTTTGTTTATGTAACAACACTGCGTATTAAGGATCTCTTGCCCAGCCCCTACTCTCTCTCCCTGCTTTGTTACCCTTTTCACATTTTTCTGAATGGTCTTCACTTAAGAGCAGGGTCTGTGCTCATCTGAGGCCATTTAATGTAGGGCAAAATTGAGGGAAAGTCTTGCATTCCACCTAATACATTAACCACCCTTTTCTCCACTGCTTACATCTCTGCCGCAAGTCACGGTATGTACGGGCTGCGCGCAGGGAGGTGCTGCCCACAGTTCATCACTGCTTTCCAGTGACCTAAGCGCAGCAAACCGAGCCCGTGCTGCTGCTCACTTTGCTGACAGGGTGGTAAGTCTGGGCACGGCCTTTCCCTGGCGGTACCAGATCACCGGGGGAACTCGCTCGGAATGCAGGCTTTACATCTTGTTACCTACCTAGTTCGTTTCTGCTGTAAAGGTCAACTCACTTGGATGTGATTCATGGTGAGATGAGGCTTGACAATCTTTATTTCAGCATGTTAGTTATAACCAGTTCTGTGAGCTCCAACAAATGTGAATAAGTTTAAAAGGTGATTTTTTTTGTCAATTTTGTAAACAAGTTCAAATGAAGTTTACCTGGTGCATGTGTGTATCGGCTGTGTTACTCATTTTTGCATGAACTTGGTTTGTCTGCTACTTGATTGCTCCTAACTGCCTTACAAAATTCACCATCCTAAGACTAAAAAATCTTAATATATTGCCATCTCTTCCCAATTAATGACATGAAGTAGCTCATCTGTGAATCTCTGGGGAATGGCCACGGCCTGAAATGCATGTTTTCATAGGTGCTTTACCAGGATCTAAAAATGCCCGCTGAAGGAGCGTGTGGATGACATAGACTGTAGAACCCCCTCCTTTTCCTTGCCAGGTACTCACCCACCTTTTAATATACCTAGTGCTACATCTTTCTTGGGCTCCGTTTCAAAGGTCGGGAACAAGCGTTGCTTTGCACTTGCGACCTTCGCTCGGTTGCTGTGGTGACTGTGGTTTTGGTTTCCGGAGACGCTCTCCGGCCTCCCTTCCGCTCAGCGGGGCCTGGGAGCTGTAAGAGGGGCCCAGAAAACGCCCCGGGTGCCTCCTGAGCTCCCTTAACCCCTCTTCTTACCTCAACCCGCGGGCGGCGCCGCGCTCCCCTCAGGGGCGCGAGGGGCGGGAGCGCCCCCCGGAGGGGGCCAAGGGCGGGTTTCGAGGCGGTTTAACGAGTAGCGGGTTTGAAGGGGCCGCGGCGGGGCCGGCGGCGCCTCCTCCCCTCAGCGCGGGGCGCGCGGCGCTAACGGCCGCCTCAGCGCCAACG